TTGCTTCCTGTGGAGGGTGCAGCACAGTGGGTGTACACAAAGCCAGTGGAAAGCTGGATACAGGGCTGCTGGTATGTCCCACAGAAACTAAAGAAAAAATGGACTTGACACAATGTCTGAATCTAACCTTTGCCCTAATATGTCCCAGCTGCCTGGTAAGATCTGTAGGACCACTAACGTGAGCAGGAGTCAGATATGAGAGCATTGAGGTCTTCTGTTCTGTTTGCAGATAGCAATGATTTCTCCAGGCATGAGCTCGTGTGAGTACACCTTAAACACACTGAGATACGCGGACAGGTAATGGCCTTTCTGACTTGGGAATTCTGCTCTTGTTGCAGAAGGTGTTTTGATTGCTTTTACTGTGACCTTGTAATGGCAATTTAGGGCTTGTTTGTTAGGACCAAATTATCTTAGAGCTGTCTGATGAAATGAACCTGAGTGTTCTCTGTGTGGGACATAACAGAGAATGTATAAAACCATGACTAATGTCTCCTTTCCTCGGAGGAGTCGTCTCATGCTAGACTTCAGACTGCCCTGTGTTTTGTAGGGAGTTTACCCTGTCCTGAATGGTTACCTCCATGCCCTTTACTTTTTGTAGTGCTTTGGGTCCCGTCTATAGGGATGGGCTAAGAATGTGTCCCTGACACAGCCCTAGAGATGGCAAAAAACACTATGTTCTTGATGGACTTTGATATGAACTAATGGAGGATGGCACCTTGGAGATTTTGGATGAAATCTGAAGGACCTGCAGAACTCTAATGCCTCTAAGCAGATGGCAGGGGTGTGTTTTGAGTGCCCCATGCTGGACCTTGGGTCCTGGTCTGGACGGCTTGCAGGGACTGAGTCCCAGGTTTCCCTGGAGGTCTTGCTGACACCTGGAACCCCTGTGACAGAGCAGCAAGTGCCTCCCAGTCTCTGCTTTGCATGCCTCTACACCTCTCTGGTGAGATGACAAGTAAAAAGATGACTGACTTTTGTCATGTATTAACAAGATGACACTAGCGCTCTTCAGGCTCGGTAGCTTTCATTGTTTAGTTCCCAAAAGGCTGCTTGATTCCTTCCTGGAAAGCATTGCACTCTATGAAAGGATGTGTGATACTTCTTGTCATAAGCATTCAGGAACACTGTGTATCTTGACAGATTCCCAGATTTGGTTCTGGATTTAAGTTGCATTTTTTTTCTTCTGGTGAACAGTC